ATTTTTGGCATTTTCTTAAAATGGCCATAACTTGAAAAATTAAAGTCAGAATCAGCTCAAACTTGCTACACAGCATAAGGACATCAATATGTATCAGAAAGCATTACAATTACTCATGGTTACCTGGTAGGAATCCCGGTACATCAACGAAGGTTATCAGTGGAATACAAAAAGCATCACAGAACCTAACAAAACGAGCACCTTTAACTGATGCATTAATATCCAAACAACCTATTAATAATAATAATAATAATAATAATAATAATAATAATAATAATAATAATGATGATGATGATGATGATGATAAACTTGGTAGTGTAAGCCATTAATAAACTTAGAATCAAGCAATCTGATTGGTCAATTACAACTACAGACTAGCCTCTATAAAATGGACACTTAGAAAGTGTCTCTGTTATACAGAGGTGTCCTTTATGTGGAGGTTATTTTATACAGTAATGAATGTAATTGGTACACTAGGTGCTGTCCATTAAATGGAGGTGTATGCTAAAGAGAGTGTCCATTAAGAGAGACTATACTGTACATGTACATACATACAACACTAACAACTGACCTGCTTTTTGATTGGGCTGGTTAGCAACCACACCCACTGTCTGTCCGTTCAACCTGGCAAATCCCACAATTATATTCCTAGCGTAGTCGGGCATTATTTGGAAGAACTCTTCCTCGTCTACAACAGCTTTGATGATGTCAGACATATCATAAGGAGTGTCAGAGGAAGGAGGAATGATGTAATTGAGAGCAGTGAGATCACGATCACTATAATAATAATAATAATAATAATAATAATAATGATAATTGGGAGTGGTGTCAATGAGGATTAGTGAATGGATCAAGAGAGCAGATGTGAAGTTAAAGATTGAACACTTACAGAAAACAGCATTATTGGGAACTGCAAGAATCTTAAGGAGACATTTAAGCATGTGATTTATATCATAGTCTATTTGTTATAGACTGATATTGTACATATACCAACTTAGTGTTGTGTGATTACATGAATATAATAATAATAATAATAATAATACTGTCTATATATACATGTACTATATAACTTTAATTTTGTTGGATAATAAATTCACAAAAAGTAGATCACACATAATAAATTACACATGTACAGTACACAATCTTATTACACGTACAGTGTATGTAAAAATTAAGTCATGGCACAATTTCTAAACCATAGATTCCCAGATACACAGTAATCAATACATGTACATGTACATACATACATGTACATAAGTATTACATGCAAATGTACATGTACTTACATTTTATCGCCAGTGTGTCTAATCGGTACTGGATCTTTATTGCTTAATGGAAGGTAATCTATCAACTCTCTCAACCTTTAAAATAAACAAACAAACAAATACATAAAATAATAAATTAATTAATTATACTAACTGTGATAGTGCATCAATGTCATTCTCAAATGCTCCGTGAGCCACACCTACTCGTTAATAGTAATAATAACACCCACACACTTAATTAATAATCACCAGATTTCTTAGTGTGTGTCAAAGCCCCGCCCAGTTCTTGATCCGAAACAACCTCGTTAGTCACTTCCTGTAATACAATTTTATTAATTTTTAAATTGTATTTTTTTTTCTTACTTCAACTACTTTGGGGCCAGTAACAAACATGTACGAGGTATCCTAGCAATAGGTATAAACCACACCTATTAACCACGCCTAGCATACCTTAACCATGAATGTGAAATCAGTAATAGCAGGAGAATATACTGCACCACCTACACAAACAACAAACAACAACAATAAACAACAACAACAACAACAATAAACAACAACAACGTCAGTAATAATGTATAGACTAGCCTCTATATAATGGACACTCTCTGTTATACAGAGGTGTCCTTTATGTGGAGGTTATTTTATACAGTAAGGAATGTAATTGGTACACTAGGTGCTGTCCATTAAATGGAGGTGTACCCTATAGAGAGTGTCCATTAAGAGAGGCTATACTGTACCTGCACAAGGTCCCATTATTAATGATATCTGTGGGACTACTCCTGAGGACATCACATTACGCT